GCTTTTAAAGAGAAAATCAGACTTGAAAATGGTTAAAAATTACCATTGTTGAATTTATAACCATAAAAACACTTTTGTCTTTTATGTTGAAAGATTGATTCCCAAGACAGCCCGAAGGACTTGCCCAGCACTCCACCAAAAACAGGGAGCATGAGACAGACAGGCAGTATGGTTCAAGATCGTAGTCATGACGACATCATAACACGAATGAAAAACATCAAAATGGTCCAACTGGGGAAATTTAGAATCAAACCCTGGTACTTCTCACCTTACCCACAAGAACTCACTCTGGAGCCTGTGGTGTTCCTGTGTGAATTTTGTCTAAAGTACGTAAAGAGTTTCCACTGCCTCAAAAGACACAAGGTATTAAAAAGAACAACTTAAAAATATTTACTGTATTTTAATAATTTATCAAGGTTGGTCCCAAGAATATTCTGATAATTCTGATATTCAAGGCTACACGTAGGTCTGTCATTTTATTAGTGAAGACTACGCTACAAGTGTGGATTCACATTATTTTTATTATTTTTGTTACGTAATTTATTTTTTCCTTGTTTATATTTTGCAGGAAAAATGCAAGTTACGTCATCCCCCTGGCAATGAAATTTACAGGAAAGGAACAATATCTTTCTTTGAAATTGATGGCAGAAAAAACAAGGTGTGAATTGCTAAGCTAAAAAAAGGTCATATTCTTTCAATCTCTGGGATTATGAAGTCATCAGCATGTTGTAGGTCAAAATGAAATTCAGGTTAAAATGAAATTCCTTTGTCTCTTAACCCTAATTATTCTGGATCATGAATAATCAGGGTTAGAAGACAAAGGAAATTGAGAATCGAACTAGGTTAGAATCATTTTAACCTGAATTTCATTTTGACCTACCACATATATAGTACAATTTTTTTGGCGCAAAAATCCTAACTAGACATAATTTTCTGTTGTGTTCAGGAAAAATAGTTGGCTTACCTTAATAAAAAATACTGTTTGTTAATTTCTCTTCCAGGCATACGCTCAAAATCTGTGCCTCTTGGCTAAAATGTTTCTAGATCACAAGACTTTATACTACGACACAGACCCTTTTCTGTTTTACGTCATGACTGAATATGACTCAATTGGATTTCACATTGTAGGATACTTCTCTAAGGTAGGAATGCCTTTTCACAGGACAGGCGATGTTCAATAATTCTTAGTTTAGGTTGGAAGCAGATTGCGGCAGTGATAGAAATACCTCTTACTGACCAAGTTCGAGGTCTGTACTGTAAGTCATGGACCAAGTTTTTCCCTTCGATTTATCACCCAAACACGAAGCACTTGGGCCTTGAAGGGGAGAAAACGAGGATCCTTAACTTACAGTATGGAGCGAGAAGACAAGGTTAGTAAAATATTTATTACTGTAAATCTCTACTGTGTGTCTGATGGGTTCAGGAACGATTTGTTTTCTACACAGAAGCACCTAATGAGTGAATCTTGTGAATATTTCAGGAAAAAGAATCATCAGAAGATTACAATGTAGCCTGCATTCTAACTCTACCACAGTATCAGAGAATGGGTTATGGCAAGCTTCTGATAGAATTTAGTAAGTGTGAATTTCTACTTTGCCATTTTGCTGCTCACTTTACATTCTCCCCCGGGGGAGTCCTATGAAAGAGTGACAGACATACATGTACCAGTATGCGTGTGATCATCAGAAATTTTGTAAGAAACTTTTGAAGGAATCAAGATTTTGTTTGTGTCATTCAAAGTTAATTTTCAATCCAGGATAAGAGTTGACCTAGTAAGTACTTCATGTCAACTAATGTTTGATGTCCTGAGACATTGGTAAGACATGATTCAAACAAATATTATATGCCACAGTTAATGTCCTTGCTTATTCTCTTCACTAGTCTCCTAGAAAGTGTATGGATATAGTGAGGAGAAACTATTTGCTGATCATTTTCTGTTTTGTCTGTTTGCTTGTATTTAGCATGCCATCTAAATTTTTATTTGGTATGATAAATTGTTCTCGGCAGGTTATGAGCTTTCAAAGTTTGAAGGTAAAACAGGGACCCCAGAAAAGCCTCTCTCAGATTTAGGACTGCTTTCTTACCGCAGCTACTGGTCACAGACCATTCTTGAAATTCTTGTTTCTCTCAAGGCTGGGGAGGATGGAAATCCTCCAGCAATAACTATCAAGTAAGAGTGCATTTAATATTTAACTTCCCAGAGACTCAGAGGTAAAGGGTAGCACCAGAACTTTGAGATAAAAAACATTGATTGGCAAAACTCTTTGGAATTAGATAGGGTTTGCACTCCTTTTATTTGACCAAACAGTCAAGGACTTTTAAGGGACTAATCCAGGTTTTCAATGGGAAATTATTGATAAAAATTTATCTTTGCTATATTATACAATGTAATATGAAACTCATAATTTATTGAAACCATTAACATTTCAAGATATTTCAAGCAGTAAATTCCAGCATTTTGCCTTTGAAAATTTAAAGATTTCCAATGAGGAACTAAGAATTATATTTGTGCTTTCTACCTTCTACATTGTAGTTCTTAGCCTTGTGTAGTTACACATTAAAAAAAATTATAAATTATTGCTTTGGCATATTTCTAACAGTGATATTTGTGAGATGACCAGCATAAGAAAGGAAGATGTTGTTTCAACCTTGCAACATCTTGGAATCATCCACTACTACAAAGGACAATACATTCTGAATCTGTCAAAAGAAATTCTTGATGGGCACAGAAGAGCCATGACAAAAAGAAAGATTAGGATTGACTCAACCTGTCTACACTGGACTCCTAAAGACTGGGCTAAGAGAGGAAAATGGTGACAACCAGGGTGGAAACTGAAGGAATTAATCAATTCTACTTCTAGTAATTAATATTTCTAGCGGATAAAAATTAATGTGTAGAGCAGCATGTATTGTTTTGAATTTTGAAAATTAATTTAATAATTCAGTCATTCTAATCAATAGTAGCCTTTATTCCAGAGTCAAAGTTAATTTTGAGGTCAATAGGTGAACTTTCAAAAAACTATGTTGGTCTTTACTGTGGCCATTTATGACTTCTGACATGGGCTACAGTAGTAATGGAGAAATGTTATGTTTGAAGAACATAAGACTAATCTTGACTTGTAAGGATTCACTTTCTACTAGAGGCTACAGTTGAACAAAGGAGTTATTCAGCCAGACTTTCAAAATTTAAAACAAAGATATTGAACGTTTTCTCATCTTTTGGTGAAATGCTGCTGCAATTCCTGTAGAAAAGGCTGCAGAACACAAAGGTGCACCTTAAGGGATCTGTGAAGAGGGTGGGGGTAGGGGGGTGTGACCAAAAAGCCTGAGTTTTGTCACATACGATTGTTTCAAACAAAATGTCATTTCCTGCAGCAACCTTGCACTTGTTCTTCACCCTCATTCCAGGTTTCTTACGGTCAGCCCTTCATGCAAGGTTATTAAGTTAGCCAAGATAATTATTTATTTGTATAATTATTATGGTCACAATTGTAAATAGTGTACTAATCTTCTGTAGGTATTGACTGCTTTATGCGAAGCAGCATGAAATTAGAATTAGTATGGAAAAGCCATGCCAGTCATTCAGAAACTTGAAGTTGTTACAACATTTGATTTTTATTGGCTTAAAATTAAGTCTAGACTTAATAATAAAAAACATTTTGAACGATCAAGACTTATCAATCCTATCATGATCAATCATATCTTCATAACTTATCAGAGTGTTAATAAACCGAAATAAGATGGAGTTAGGTCGAGTTTTGGGCCATGGGTGGAGAAGGGAGGTAGATGACCAGGTCTTTTGAGTTGTACATAAGCCATGCCTTACAAGTTGGTGTGGTAAAAAAAAACATCAATTTAATTGTTACAACTGTAGTAAAAGTTATAACTGATATCCAAGTCATAAAGCAACGTTGTAAATATGTTATGGTAGCAATGAATGTGCAAGATTCATTTAGTTTTACTTCAACAAAGGCTCTGTTGCACTAATTATTTATTCTTTTTTCATGTTAGAAAACATTAACTTAAGGTAGAAAGAGGTGCAATTGAATAATTTACTAGCAAGTTCTACCAAGTGGTATTAGAACAATTATATAATTTGGGTGCATCTGTTAACTGCCAAATAATTTAAAAATTAGTGCATACTATTGATCCCAGACGTCAGTTGAAATGGTCCTTTTCAGGCCATTTCATGCACCATTGGTTTCACATACCTGAAAAAAAAGTAATCATGTGATGACGAATTTCACGATCGTGTGATGAGTGAATCTCTGCCATCGTAAAGTTGCTTCACAGTTTGTTTCCAAGTTTGTTGAGTTTCATACTTTCTAGCAAGATACAATCCAACATACATTACAGAGAAGAGTGTGACAGATGCAAAATCCATCGCATGGATAACTTGGTACTTTTGAGGAATTTGCAGCGATTGTGCTTCAAACTGTGGCCATAAGTGCCAAGATATGTTTTTCATCTCGTGATCACTTTTTGAATCATGTGAATGAAACCAACAGGATGTGAAACGGCCTGAAAAAAAAAAAAAGAAAACATTTCAACAGATGTCTGGGAACAATAGTAATATTATTGCCTAGAATTTTGGTCTGGTACAGTTTGTACAGAGGGCTACCAGCATACCCTTTGCACACATTGTGCCTAAACATGCATCAATCACAGACCTTATTTGCATGGTAATTAACTGAAAGATCTGACAAGGATATTATTCCATACCTGGTAACCACAATGTAGACTGTTAGTAGTTATTTGAGCTTATGAATGCATGTATTACCAGGTTTACCCTGGGTGCCAGAGGTTTTTTTTTTTGTAGCGAAGCTGTGATTGTGAGCGGCGAACCCTCTGGCACACAGGATATACCAGGTTAAGACATCTTAAGAATGTAAATTACTTTGTATTGCACAAGAATGAGGGCATAAAACAGTTTTATTAACAAATAAATCTTAATCAAAATACTGTCAGCTGTAAAAATGCTATTGAGAGATTTATTTTAAATGATCCATGCTCCATGTACCAATATTGCAATATTGTTGTAAACAGCATTATGTTGAAATAAATATTGTGAAATATTTTTGGTCAGATCTTTGCCTTTTTACTGGATGTCTTGTGCCATGGAACATACTTCTATCATTGACTGGCCTTTTTCATCTCACTTGATAAAAGAAAATGTTTTGTAGTTCATAAATGTCTTCATCACAAGAAGAGATTTCTGTTACATTGTAGCTTACTGTACAAGGCTTCACCCAACTGTTTAGATCAATGCAAGCCTAGAAAAGGAAAAAGAACTTTATCAGGGATTCTACTCTACTCTGGAGTAGTATTCCTTTGATAAACTGTTTCAATTTGTCTCAACTAGTTCTGTCCAGGCCTGCAGCTCTCTGAGAGTTTTCAGTAGCTTACTGGGGATTCTTGATGTTTCTTTTTCTGACCATCCCATGCTCATGACAAGATGATCAACATTACATCACAAGTCTGAAGAGTTTGTAAATAACCTGCATGTATAATGAATGATGCAGTATCCTGCTCAGTCAAAAGGCTACACGTGGACTGAGATAAAACACCTGGTCAGGGACAGAAGGGAATGGAAGCAATATTCGTCAGTGGCCTATGCGCCAAAATGGAGTGAATATTCTTCAGATCAGACAATGAATGAGACTGTAAGGAAACTGCGTAAATCACACAAAATAGTGACTGAGGTACTTTGAAATCACACAAAATATTATTTTTTTCTCAGGTATTTTCCAATGGCTCTGGATCTTGGGTGTGGACGAGGGCATATTTCAAAATGCCTAACAAAGGTTTGTAAATTAATCAATATTAGTAATAGTAATTGGACCAAGTGGAGTGCAATTCAGGGAGTAATCACACGAGTAATTTTGAAATCGGATGAGCAGGAAGCGCGAGGCCAATTTGAAATTACACATGTGATTACTCCCTGAATTGTATGACACAAGGTCCAATTACTAATTCGTCATATCTATAACAAATTTCGGAATAAAATATGCCTTTTGAGAACTTGTTTTGAGTGAACATGCTCTGTAGTACTTTTCATGAGCTTTGAAAACTGTAGAAAACATTGAGAAGGAAGCCATTAAAGCACAAGTAATTGATGTGCGAATCACGAGGGTATCCAATTACAGGTATCCAAGTACAAAAAGTTCAAATTGGACACCTGTAACTGGACACCCATGTGATTGCGTGCCGATTTATGTGACAAATAGGAGCGCGGAGAGCCAATCATGATCAAGAATTTTGTTATAGATACGATTAAAGGATAAACGGGGGGAAAGGGGAATGGATAACTTGGCTCCTTAGAGATGCTATTTCAAAAAGTTATTTAAAAGCTGAGTTCTTTGGATACTCATGGTATTGCAACAGTCTTAGCAATATGTTAGCTTGGAGAAAAAGAAAACCTAAATGCTCTTGTGGACATGATCAGGAGCCCAGTCACATCGTTTTGAATTACATTGGCCATGTACAAAATTGCCTTTAAATTGAAGGAAACATGAAAATGAGAGTTCACTAACAAAGATAGAAAAACACTATTAACTAAAAGAGATAATAATAAACCATAAAGGAACAAGGATATTTAAGGATGCAGAAGATTAACACAGATTACAAATGACAAACTGTAGAAAGTTAGGTTAAACTTTACACAAACTGTGCACAAACTATGACCTAGCTCCTGTAAAGTAAACAGAACTCTGAACCTGGCTGTTCAAAGCACAATAAAACTAAACAAATCCAAAATAAGAATTTTGATCTGGATGGTGCAAAACTTGGTACTAAGAGAACTTGGTAATTACAATCTTTCAGATTTACGATTGCGTGTTTTTCTTTCTCATTAGCAAAGCTTAACATGTATTGTTGTTTTCCCAAACTTCCAGAAGTGTTTCATTAGCTTAACTCCTTGAGTGCCTGACCATTGTGTATGTTATATGCCATGTGTACCATTTTCACTGAAAATTGGTGTCTAGTAAACAGCTTCAAATGCCATAAGCTTTTTCACTGAAACTATAGACTTGTATAAATTTTTTGAAAGGTCATAAAATTTATCTTCATTGTGGTTAATTTTGGCGAGGTTGACATAATTTAATATCCATGTGATGTCACAGCGATGCGAAATTACATATAGTAGTCTCCTGATAAACCTCCTATGAATCATGGTGCCGATAGAAGTTGTTTCTGGTTATGATCTCTTAAAATTTGGATATACTCAGTATGTCATATAGGCACCTTAAGGGGTAAAATCATGATGTACTGAGTACGTCATATAGGCACCCAAGAGGTTACATTGACTTAAAGCTGTTGTTTTAAATCTTTGTAGGAACAAGTGGGAACTCTAGTCATGACTGATATGGCAGAAAATATGCTGGTAAGAATGCACAGCCTGCATAGCAGCAGACATTTCAGTACCAGCTAAGAGTTTCTCGCCTGCTGGTCATGCTAAAATTGGGGTAGGAACAAGCAATTGATGGAGAGGGGGAGCCCTGGGTTAGAAAAAAGTGCCTTCCAGTTATTTAATTTCCTTCTGGACTTTCAAGTAACTTTTCACTTGATGTGAAGGGATCACAGGCAAGTCTTTCACCTCTCTAAATCATTAAAATAGAAACCTAAGACTTTCTGAGCTAGAATTCAATTTTTTTATAGAGCCCTAAGGGGGGTAGTGGAACCAACTTCATCAATTTGCTCTCTTCCCAATTTATGTTCAACTAGACTTGGCTTGTTCTTCCTCTCCTAGGTGATGCTTGCTGCACATATTAGTAAGAATTAAGTCACAAAAGACAATTTATGGCAGATCCTCTAATTTGTGTTTAATGATTGCTAACATACTGGACTTTGATGTGGAGCAGTCCTTTAAAAAATTTGTTTACTGTAAATTATGTTTTTTTATCCTAGACTCAATGCCAGCCTTGTGAATTTCCAACCCCAAAGGTTGTGGTAGATGAAGAATTCCTACCTTTTTCTCAAAACACGTTTGATCTTGTTGTTAGTAGTTTAAGGTATGCATTTGAGATTCAAATATTAGATATTTCAAGAAGATAATCATCTTGAGACCTAAGTTGTGGAAAGTGGAAATGTCACTCTTAGGTTTTTCCATGAAGAAGATCCAGTTGAAAGGGTGCATGGAAAAAAGCCCCAAGTGACTCTTGCTCTCATGTCAAATTCTCCTTTTCATCTCAAGGAAGTGAAAAGCAATTTGCTAGGAGAATCTTGCAGTCTATCAGATATCACTTACAGTAGGCTCTTTTTCCATGTACTCCTTCAATTGAGAGTGACTTTGTTTTAGATGCAAAAAGTTTCTTCAGTCTGGTTAATGTAAAGTGGGTGATCTTACAATTACCTGGCATGTCCTCAATTATTGTCATTGATTTTTGTTCCTTTCACAGCCTTCACTGGGTTAATGACTTACCTGGAACATTTAGACAGGTACAGATATACATGTGTCTAAGGGATAGGCCATGATTATGTTTGATTACCATAAGATTGTAATTTACAGGTCGGAGTAGCTATTTGCAAACAGAGCTTTCAATCATACTTAGAATTTGTTTTACATCACAACCAGGATTGCACAGTGGTGCAGGGCAGGAAAAAACCCAGGTCTGATTGCCCGGGGCAAGTAAATTCTGCTCTTGGGCAAGTGAAAATGAAAGTTTGCTGGTCCGGTGGGGAAGTCAAATTAGCCACAGTAGTTGTTAACCAGTGATAATTTCCAATCAAAAATAATTTCAAAACTTATAACCACAAGATGAGCTAAACAATGATTTGAAAGCATGGATTTTAAAATTTTAAATCCAAGCATACTTTGCTCGTTTTTGTTGGGTGCCTGTTGGGGGCAACTGAAAACTGAAATGTACTGGCCCACTGGACAACTGGATTTCAAGTTTTTTCCTGGCATGTGGTGGTTGTGAATATTTTGAACTGTCACCGCCACTTATGAGAGTGGTCAGAAGGAGGACTTCAACTTTCAATTTGTTGCATTTAAATTCCATTATAGATTATTCACTGCCTGAAAGAGGATGGAGTCTTTATTGGGGCCATGTTTGGTGGAGATTCACTTTACCAGTTGAGAGCCTCACTACAGCTGGCTGAAACTGAGAGGGAGGGGGTAAGTGTAGTCTAAATGTATGTATAAGAGAGGGTGGGTGGACAGAGATAGATTGGTTACTGTAGAGGTTTTCAGACAAATGAAAGAAAAGATCTTAAAATGGAAACAAATTTTAGAAAAGAATTGGTGGCAAAATAATGTGAAGTTTGTTGAAATATTAAAGAGATGTTGATTAGTTGGTCACAAGTGAGGGACAATCAGAGAAAAATCTAGAGATCATATCATAATCAGGGATATGATATGAGGAGATATCATCATATCAGGAGTAAAGAGTAAATTAAAAGAAAAATTAGTGAGATCTACAGACCAGCAACAACAACAGTTTATTTCTACTAATGTAAACAACTAAAAAGAATTTACAAGATTATAATCATAAATAAATAAATAAAACAGTACAGTACATACAGTAGTGGAACACCCAAAATAACTAAAAAGCTAAACTAGTTGGTTGACTTGTAATTATAATAATTAAAAATGTGAGAGTCAGGAAAGAGGCACAACAAATACATTGGTACACATAAATATCATAAACTTGGTACAAGAGTAAATATACACAACGAAACAAAATAAATAGATATAAACCAGGGGACATAGATGGCAAGAGTGATGGACAGATGCAGTAGCAAGTAACAAATTTGGTCAGGGAATTGCACTGGATAGAAAACACTGGAAATAAAAAAGCATTAGACTAGAAAGGCTCAGAGGGGATGACAATTTTTGCATGTTTATATCTTTAGGGATTTGCTGCTCATATTTCACCATTTGCAGAAGTTAGAGATCTTGGAAATCTGCTGACAAGAAGTGGATTCTCACTGACAACAGTGGTAAGTTGGTTGTGATTCTGATTTCACAAATTACTCTAATGTTAAATAGACATGACACAGATGCCAACCTAAAAAAAAAAAAAAAAAAAAAAATTCTGGAGATCACTATTTTTACCTTCTCAACTCTAGAAAAAGTTGTTTCAGTATATGTACAAGTATGGTTGTTTAACTTCAAAAGTTTTGTCAAATATCCAAATGTAAACATGTTCCCCTGAAAATATATATATAAAAGAACAGGCAAAAGAAGTGTGAAAAGTGTAAGTGACCCTTCCTATGTATTGGGAGATTTTGTGACCTGTATGGTAGACCAGAAGTATCGGTCTGTATCCAGGAGACTCCTGGATAATGTGAGAGGGTTGGTTTGAAATTTAACCATGTTCTGCTAAAATTGTTTTCCTTTATGAGTTATAATAATTGGTAGCCATTACTAGCTGATTTTTGTAATTAGATCTTGATAGACATGCACAGCTAGACTAGCACTAACTATCTGCAGGCCAGTCTAACTGTTAGAATGTAAACTGAGGAATGACAATAGAGATCAATTGATATTTATATTTTTAGGATTTTGATGAGATAACAATAGGATATCCAAACATGCTTGAACTTATGCATGATCTCAAAGGAATGGGTGAAAATAATGCCGCATGGAATAGAAAGACATTGCTACACCGAGACACAATTCTAGCAGCTTCTTCTGTTTACCAGGGTAAGTATTTTTTTCAACCAGTGTGTGTTTATAAGGAGAAGTCCACACAGTAGATATTCGGTAAAAAAGGTGAACGTCTCTATAGGGCAAAGTGCTCTACACAGCCTGAGCTTATCCCAGTTTCTGTATAATCTAACACCTAGGAGACAGTGTTCTACTCCCCCCTGGATGGGATGCTAGAGTTCATTGCAGGGTTACATGGACTTGCACCCCAGCATTAAATTTGCCAGTACCCATTTAATATACCTTGGTGGGGAGAGGTACTGTGAGGGTAAAGTATCTCACCTAAGAAGAACACAATGCATTGACCAAGACCAACCTGGACCGCTTGATCCAGAACCTAGCACACTAACCATTAGGCCAGTGTCTTTCCACATGCATTACACAGATCTTCCTCAGAACCACCTTGGTGGCTACAATCATGGACAAAAGTGTTGACACATTTGAGCAAAACAAACACTTTCTATCAGCATCCTTCCATAATTACAAAAAACATATTTTTTGTCGATAGCCAAACCCCCCTCTCTCCCTTTTCAATGTTGAAATAATTATGCTCCGTGTCACTATCATGTAGTTACAACATTGAAAAGGGGAAAGGGGGTCGAAATGTGGAAATAGGAGGTTGAAAAACTCACCCGTTCAACGAAACAGGTCTTTTTTCGGGAAGTGTCTCAACTGCTTTTGTCCATGATTGTAGGTCTCCCGCTTGCAGATTGCTCTGTGCCCAGAGGTACTTTTTTTTGTCAACAATATAGTGGCTAAATTNCAGACGTCAGTTGAAATGGTCCTTTTCAGGCCATTTCATGCACCATTGGTTTCACATACCTGACAAAAAAAGTGATCATGTGATGACGAATTTCACAATGGTGTGATGAGTGAATCTCTGCCATCGGGAAGTTGCTTCACAGTTTGTTTCCAAGTTTGTTGAGTTTCATACTTTCTAGCAAGATACAATCCAACATACGTTACAGAGAAGAGTTTGACAGATGCAAAATCCATTGCATGGATAACTTGGTACTTTTGAGGAATTTGCAGCGATTGTGCTTCAAACTGTGGCCATATGTGCCAAGATATGTTTTTCATCTCGTGATCACTTTTTGAATCGTGTGAATGAAACCAACAGGATGTGAAACGGCCTGAAAAAAAAAAAGAAAACATTTCAACAGATGTCTGGGAACAATAGTAATATTATTGCCTAGAATTTTGGTCTGGTACAGTTTGTACAGAGGGCTACCAGCATACCCTTTGCACACATTGTGCCTAAACATGCATCAATCACAGACCTTATTTGCATGGTAATTAACTGAAAGATCTGACAAGGATATTATTCCATACCTGGTAACCACAATGTAGACTGTTAGTAGTTATTTGAGCTTATGAATGCATGTATTACCAGGTTTACCCTGGGTGCCAGAGGTTTTTTTTTTTGTAGCGAAGCTGTGATTGTGAGCGGCGAACCCTCTGGCACACAGGATATACCAGGTTAAGACATCTTAAGAATGTAAATTACTTTGTATTGCACAAGAATGAGGGCATAAAACAGTTTTATTAACAAATAAATCTTAATCAAAATACTGTCAGCTGTAAAAATGCTATTGAGAGATTTATTTTAAATGATCCATGCTCCATGTACCAATATTGCAATATTGTTGTAAACAGCATTATGTTGAAATAAATATTGTGAAATATTTTTGGTCAGATCTTTGCCTTTTTACTGGATGTCTTGTGCCATGGAACATACTTCTATCATTGACTGGCCTTTTTCATCTCACTTGATAAAAGAAAATGTTTTGTAGTTCATAAATGTCTTCATCACAAGAAGAGATTTCTGTTACATTGTAGCTTACTGTACAAGGCTTCACCCAACTGTTTAGATCAATGCAAGCCTAGAAAAGGAAAAAGAACTTTATCAGGGATTCTACTCTACTCTGGAGTAGTATTCCTTTGATACGATGTAAGTCGCAATGTTCATAACTGTTCCATTCATGCTTGGTTCGCTCATAAAAGCAAATAAGAAAAATGAACATTGACATAACAGATTTTTTTAAACTCGACTCTTTTTAAAAAATTATCTTACTCAGAATTTATATTACACAGTTATTTTAATAGCACCTCGTGCCCACAGCCTAGCTGAGGGTGGGTGATGACTGGCATTTCAGGCTAAGCTAAACTACTGATCAGAAATTTAGGCAAAGTTCAAATCAGGCCAGTGCTGGTCAGCGTCTCACCAACAGTGTAAGTGCCTGAGTCAATATTCTTCTTGATTGTTTGGTTTTCCCTCCCTCACTCCCAGTTGGCAGGTGCCTGGAGGTTGGTGGTGGCAGGGTTGCCTCCCTCTTTTGCTACCTTAAGACCGCCATTCTACAAAGCTTCATTCAGCTTTGAGTTTAAATATTAACTTAAACTTACATTAATTAAAATGATGAGCATCTCAACTAACCTTATCATTGAAGATTGTGGCTTCTTCAAGACTAGGCACAGTGACTAAAACACAACCAGGCTTTGTCAAGTGCTCTCTGAGAATTTTCCAAGTTCTTTGCACAAAAACAAAAAGAAAATCAAAATTCTACTCTGGTCTTTACAAGTCGAGGTATGTCATTCTTGCATTTTGTAATCAGCAATATGGGATAAATCTTTTGCTTCCTACCTAATTTGTTCATCCACAGGTAGAAAGAACTCAAACACATTGTTCAGAACAACAACATCAGCTGAGGAAACAAATGAAATAAAGATTTTTCCAACAGCACGCATGTTCTAAATAAATAGCTTGCGTTGCAGGCATATTACACTATGCAGGCTATAAATAAATGTCCAAAGTCTGCATATGAGCCAAGTGGCCCATCAGGCCAGAGCTCATCCCAGTTTCTGTAGCATGAAGTGATTAGGAGTATTTCTCACTCTGAAAATACTCCCCCCTGGATGGTATGCCAGTCCATCACAGGGTTACTGGTATCCCCAGCATTGAATTTGCTTGAATCAACCTGGATGGAGAGAGGCACTGTGAGAGTAAAGTGTTTTGCCCAAGAACACAACACAATGACCCCAGTCAGCTGGGCTTGCACCCAGAACGGTCAATCTGGAGTCGAGCACAATGACCATGATGCCACCGCGCCTCCACCCAAGTGATTGAGTGAAGTATAAACAAGAAAACAAACCAATATACAATAAAAGGGTAGCCATAGACTAAAAGACAGTAAATTATATCGAAATCTTGATTTTAGATGCAACATGGTAAAACCGGTCAGAGCTTATTTCAAGCAAATGTGAGAAAGGGATACTAGTAGATAATACTTAGCAATTTTCCATTTAATCTTGAGGTACAATTTCTCAAGGTCATATTTTGCAGTTGTTTGGAGTTGTACTAATTATAATACTAGTACTGACAGTCTTTGTTTATACCTTGTTCCAAGAGGGTAAGCTCACTGCAAATATCAGCGCATCTGATCTGAGATAACAACAAAGACATAATATTATTAACAATGAAGTATAATATTATTGTTTGTCTTATCATGTCATGACGTAGTCACTTGTGATGAAGATCTTGACGTTTCGACCACATACTGCAAGTCTTCATCGGGTGATGAGGTTGATTGGTTATGGATCACTGATAGAGCACAATGCTTTTTCTCTGACTGAACAGTTTTTGACAGCTGCAATTGACAAATTTCAATCTTTGCTGTTTCATTAACTTGGAATTCTACTGCATGAGGCACAGGAATTGCAACTCCCCTGGGACAGTGGTCACTTGCAGGTATATAATACCATTATTTGATGATTGAGCAATATATGTCCTGTAATGCTGAATGATATCAATGTAACCAACAAACTGAACCTTAGTTAACTTACACATCTTTTAAAAATTCACCTCCACTCGATCTGACATGTTATACTTTTCTACTGTCTCCTGTTGCAAGTTACACAAATCTGAATTGATTTCTACTCCAATAATCTTCTGTATTGTGCTGAAATGATATGCCTACAAGAAAAGGTAATAAATTAGTAAAAGTATTAATTTTAAAAATTTCTGATAAAATTTTAACATTTGGCCAACAATGAAAGCATGTTGTCTTACAATAATACTAAGATCAAGACAAAGACTGACTTAGCTAGTAGCTAGTAGTAGACTTTTCTTAGCCTAAGAGTTTCTACAAGAATGATAAAATTTGGGTAAAATTCTGTGAGAAGTGTACATCTCGAAGTGTATATATTAATCTATAATGTAAAACTTAAGGTTAAGAAGATGGAGTGCTAAAATAACATGATGGCCTAACTAATTGCTTTCATGGACTGATCATAAATTATATGGGGACTAGAAAGTAAACAGCACATGTAACTGCCAGACTTAATTACACAGGGTTTGTGCTTTTCTTAAGAGTAACAAATGTAGTGACTGACGCTGTAATAAACATTATAGGGAAGGAATATATATATATATAAATAAATATAAATAAATACTCTATTTTAGTTGGGAAAAATACGTAATGTCTGTGTGACCTAAAAATACAGAAAGAAGTTCAAGAAAGTCATGTCTCATAGCTTGGGGCTAGTGGATGTTGCAGTCCAGTTAGTAGATTTTGCAGTTTCTTGGGAAAATTAAGGACATTTAAATTACAGAACTACTATAAGAGATGATTTTTTTTAGGGGGAGGGGTGTAAGTGAGAAATGTCCTTTGGGCAGTATATCACTTTCTTTGCAAGGGTAGATTGAATGTCTCTTAAGCTAGGTGGCAATGCAAATCCAATCAAGCTGAAGTTCCATGTGGTAAAACTGGATTTCACTGACTGGATCTGTCCTCTTTCAATTGGATGCAGAACAGCCTGCCTCATGGAATACATCTGAATATACCTGACACACAAGACTACCTGCACAGTCTTTGCCCCTTCCCCTATGAGTGTTGTTTTCCACTGGCTGGGGAACAAAAGAAGCAGAAGACGTTTTTCTCACACACATTCTGGACTCTTGGCGGTTGTGTGTGGGTAGTCTGGTCACATGGATTGTGGTTGTTTGCCAGTTTTTTGCAGCATGTAATCCCAAGGTCATCTTTTCCTGCTAGTCACTTTCTTGTACTATTTTAACATTAATTTTTGTAATAAAGGTCAATCTGCATGGTTCAGCTTGGCATGGCTCCCAGTTGTGTGTGGGAAAGCACATTTATACAGAATAACTAAGGCATATGCTGTCTTTCAGTTTTCAGCTCAATTCATAATTATTATATACTACTTACTCCATAAAGCACAGCTCCAAGTCTTGACCCAACATCTAACATCAACTTGTTACTAAGTGTGTTAAGTATCATGGGAAGGGCTGCTTGAAATATGAACCTTAATTGCACCAGTGATGAGGAATGTGATATAAAAGCTGAAAATATAAAATTTTGTTGACCATGGATAAAACTTATGTCAGTCATACAAGTTTAAAAATAAAAAGGTGTAGCTAGTTTCATTTTAATTCTCTAAAATAGAGGGATCATGTTTACTTTAGGTCATGTCGGTTGACACTATTGACCGATATATCAACTGACACTTGGTTGATCTGTTGGTCAAGTATTGGCCTTGTATTGGCCAAGTCTCGACTGATACACAGTCAATATATCGGCTGACAGTCAGTCGAGTGTTGGTTGAGTATTGATAGAGTGTCAGTCGAGTGTTAGTAGGGTATCAGTCCATTATTTTAATATGCACTTCTTACTTAGTGGAGCTGTATTGTGAGATCCACAATCTTTACAGTAGTTATGACTCATTTTGCCCTCATCACAAAGTCTGTCAATGTCTTCATCACTGTACAGGAATGAATCAACATGAATTGTAGTGGAAGGATGGAACTCTGAATTCTAAGAAAGAACCATTGATCAGAAATGTATCACAAAGAAGAAACTGTTTTAATTTTAGGTTTTACAAACTTTGCAAACATCTTAATTAAACTACAACATGATGGAAAATACATCGTGTTCCTTTAAAAGATGACTGGAGTGAGCATGATAATTTTTTTACCCTATCCATCGATTATGGATAATTAATTCTTTAAAATGATGATTGGACTGATATGTATACCATAAGACAGTTAACAAATGATAAAATTTGTATTTTCTGTCAAAGCTCTGCATGTGTTCCTCATCATTCACCATGGCATTAATTGGCTTTTTAACTATTTAGAACTTGTTGCTATGAAAGGTGATAATTTTTTAATGCTCCTTTCCCCATTCGCTTGTGTTGGAAAACCTTTTCCATGAGGCAATCAACCTTTAAACAACTGGTGAAAGGATGGATATAGCAGAAGGGAAAGTGGGGTCAGAAGTTTGCAATGCAATTTAGTCACAATTACCTCCCAAATAATTCCTGTTACACTGTCCTCTGACTCCCAAGCTTTTGTTAAAATAATTTGGTCTTTTTCTCTCACTTCCTGCTTTCCTGAACATTATCTTACTACACGCCCTTTCCCCCTATGCTTCCCTTAGTCTTCTTCACCCCTTTTCTTGAAGGCCCCTCCCCTCACAGACCCATCTCCCTCCAGGATCTGGCAATGTGTTGTCCCCAGGGGCTCCCATATAGAAATGACAGGGGTGCTCATCATACCTTTTAGGGGTTATTAACACACTTTTGGTAAGTCTTAGGGGTACTGGACCTCAAAAGGTCCACAGCGTGAGCTTTTGAGGTACCTTTTAAGGTATTGAGCCAAGAAAATATAACAGGGGATAATGTGTTATGCAAGAATTGGTACCTCTTAGGGGTTCTCTTCAAAATCTCCAAAAAGCACCCCTGTCCTTTTGGGAGTTCCCCCCTGGGTGCGTTGTACTCTGGAGGTAGGCCCTATTTGAACATATCAAATACCTCCCCATTCTCAGGGCAGCATAAGCCCTAATTATGTTGAGTTACCTCTTCTTCCTCTTCTGGATGAGAGATGTTCTCTGATGCCATGACCCCTAGAAGAGGAACCCTCTTTTTGATATCTTTCACAATCTCTCTCAACCTTTTCTCCGCCGAAGTCATAGATGCGTAATTAGTTGTTTCTCCTGTGTTCCCAGTGGTATTTACATTAGAACAATGCTGAATGACCCATTCTAAAAAACTTGGCGACTCGCAGGGGTCAACTCTTGACAGAAGAGAGAGGAATGAAGACTTGGCCACTTCCAGCGAACTAGCGTCAATATCTTCCATCACATCCCAAAATCAATCCCCTCGACGCGTAGGATCAATAGAAATGTTTCATTGGAAGTTAAAAATAAAGGTAAAAGTTAGCGCACCGAGCCAGGTAAAGGATAAGCTTGAATTTGAAAAGAGTACAGGGAAAGGGCCTGTTGGAGGATTCGCGCCACATGGCTTACGTTCGGTTACCTAGCCACAACATCGCGTGGCCACCAAGCCCAGGCCAGAAGAAATTAAGATGGCGGTCGCAGACGTCGTTATCAAACAAGAAGCCGTGGACGCTGTAGATTTGGAAGAGAGAGTCGTAGAACTTTGTAAAGCGAATCCAAAAGGAATAACAGACCAGCTGATATCTCAGGATATGCCAAACATTCCTCCACAGCAAAGAGTAACTGCTATAAACAGACTTCTCTCTATGGTGGGTCTCAGAAGAAAAAAGGAAATACATAAAAGTCAATGAAAAAGACAGCTTCCTTAGCCAAGCAGTCTCGAAACATTTCTTCTAACTTCTGATTTTTTTACCAGCTTATTTACTATTTATCATCTGAAAAGTTAATTCTTTTTCTTTTTCTTATCAGCTGTCATCTTGACAATGCACTGAGATTGTTCTGAGGAGAAATAACTTATTAGAGTAACTTATTATAACAGATTAGTAAATTAATTAAATTATTATTGTTTTATCAATATATTAGTTTATGATCACTATGTGGATTTTAGATGCACATTGAAAATCACTTTTCAAGAATTGTTGTCTGAGAATATGACTTAACTGTTGCATTACTTTGCACTGTAATGCGCTAATGTTGTGCATGTGCTTGCATATTTTCTCTGAAGGGTAGGATTGAACTTTTGAAAAGTGGCACACAGCTTTTATATAGATACAAAGATGCACAGGCGGCGACGTGAGTTTCAGCTTTTACTTTTACACTTCAATGTTTTAGGAACTAATGTAAAAAGGTAGGACTACCCCTACCCCCATTGGTTTGAACCCTCCCTACTCCTCTGGAAATTGAAGGAATGAGCAAACAAACAACTGAATAACCTTTATTTGAACTCGACGAAATTTAAGCTATGAGTTTGTGGGGTCGTGTAAAGATAAAAGGTGAATTAAATAAATTATATAAATAAGAAAATTATGAGGTTTTAACTTTGAAGTAAAAGTAACAAGTGCTCTGCTATAATAATTAGTTTTTTCCTTCCTGTTAAAACATTTGTCTTTTGAGCCCCCTCCCCCATGGGATTCCCAACAACCTTCCTCAGGGTGGGTGTGGATTTGATCACTGCACAATAGTTCTGAAACACAATTTCAGATAACTAATAACTTGTTTTTACAGGAAAACAAAAGGATTTGACTTACAAGAGAAACTTGTTTATCAGATTATAGAAGAGGCACAAAACAAAGGTAAATTTCAAAATTATTTCATTTCAAAATTATAGTACTTTTACATGTTATATTCATAATTTTGTTATGTGTTATTATTTTCCATTGAGATCACTAATAACACTGCATAAAATTAATCTATATAATAATTATTATATACATGTTGCAGGTATCTGGATTAGGGACATCAGATTCAAAAGTAACATACAAATGACACAAGTCAACAAGATTGTAAAGAATCTGGAGAGCAAGAAGCTTATTAAGGCTGTCAAATCTGTAGCTGTAAGTACTATAGAGAAACTGTGATTCTTTCCTTAAATCTGTCGATCAATCTTGCTAAATTTCTTCAACCTGATCCTCATGTTGCCAGACAAAAGCTAGTCACAGTTCCCGTGACAACAACAAGCTTTTAATAAATCAGGCAGAAATTGGTTTAATTATCAGTTGACTTTGCTACTATGTGTGATTCCAGAAAATACCCATACCCACCCTAAGGAGGGTTATTGGAAATTCCAAGGGGATATGAGGGAGGGGGTGGGTCTCAAAAGCCAAAATTTGTAAAGGAAAAGTATGAGCCAAAATGGAATTCTGGGGTGGGGTGAGAGCTGAAACCAAAAAACCCGTGGTGGGGGGGGGGGGGGGGTATAGATTTTTTTCTGAACAAGACTATAAGCAGTTATACCCTCTGAACAAAAATCTTTATTTGCACTCTGTCTTGCCTTTGCAATTAAATAATTAATTAATTAGGAATGAAATTAGATTACTGGCTGCCTGGAATAACCATGAGAGGGGCTGGTAGAGCAGGATGGCCAGGTGATAAAAGCATTAAACAAGAAATATAAATTACTGGAGACAGAACAAACCCACTCATTTCTGACTATTTTTTAGGCTTCTAGAAAGAAAGTGTACATGCTCTTTAATTTGGAGCCTGACATTACAGTGACTGGAGGAGCTTGGTACAGTGATCAGGATTTTGAATCTGAGTTTGTAGAAGTGCTAAATCAACAGTGTTACAAGTATCTTGAACAAAAGGTATGAAACAGAAACTGTAATCAGCAGTTGGTATGTCTGTCAACTCAACGTACCTGCTGTATGTGACAATCTTGTGGTAGGTGTAGTGGTATACATGTAATTATGGTAAGTGCATTCTGGTGAGACAAGACGGGTAGCAGTTCTTGCCCCTCCCTTAGTGGTTCCTGTCTTTTCATGCTGTTTCCATTTCGTATTTTAATAAAGTGTGCAATGCTGTTTTTATCACACAGATGCTCATTCAGTTCCCACTACAGTAATGCCTTGGAAATCTCACTTCCCAGCCTTTCCATACCCCTCCTGACTTCTGCTCTCCCTTGTTTTCCACACCCCCCCTAACTTGATTGGACTCCTGCTCTAGAGGACCTTATTCAATCTTGTGTGGGATAATGATAAATTTACTGTTTGTAGGCTGATCAAGCTGACAGAATGAATGTGGATCCTTTAGCTAAAAGAAATGCTTCTTATTCGTCATGCAATGATGTGTGGAAGTACATTTCTGAACTAGGAATCAGTAAGGTAAATACATTACTTCTAACAAATTATTACTGACAGGTTTTTTATGTGCATCTGTGTTTGCATACAACTGTGCAACTCCACCTTCTGGCTTTAACTGCAGTTGCTGCAAAAAAGTGTCATTCTTTGTGTACGAATGGTCTATATATACAGTCCCTCTAGAGTTTGCAGATTGACCAGTGCTTCCTAGCTTCAGTTGGTGCAAACCCAAATTAACTATTGATTCCATATGTTTGCATGAAAAAGTACCGGTACCAAATTGCAACTTTTTGATTTGGAATATTGTGAGTCCTAATCAGGAGGTGCGGTGGCCTCATGGTTAGTGCGCTCATCTCTAGATCGAGTGGTCTGGGTTAGAGCCCTGGCTGGGGACAATGCAAGACACTTACCTCTCACAGTGCCTCTCTCCACCCAGGTGTATATGGGTATTGACAAATTTAATGCTGGGGATAAGTAACCCTGCGATGGACTAGCATCCCATCCAGGCGGGAGTAGAAATACTCCTAGTCGCTTCATGCTACTGAAACCGGGATATGCTCCAGCCTGATGGGCCAGTTGGCTTGTATGCAGACTTTACCCACCTAGTCAAGAATGGACACTAAACCAGAAGAATAACCTCAACAAAACAAGACTATTAAACTGTCAAGGAAGATAAGTAACCTAATGGTAGCAAGGTATTATCTCTTCAAATCCTAACTTGTGAAGAGTGGCTTTGGATACATTACCTCTCCCCAATCCCTCTGCTTAAATGTAGACTGAGGTACACTGGGCACAAGGCTACTCTCAGGTGACACTCAGCTTGCATGTAACTAACATTGTTTAATTAATTCTACATGGTTGTAGGTTCAACTATCTGAGGGTGATATTGAAACAATTTTAAACACATTAGTCTTTGATGGAAAAGCAGAAATGTCACTAGTGGTGGATAGCAGTTCAGGATCATCATCAAATGGACAAAGGAAACTTTTCAGGGTTCTTAGACCTCTGTTACCAGTGACAGGACTCATGAGGACACCATGTGGTGTTTGCCCGGTAAGGAAGCTATCTTCCTGTGAAGGTGAACAAGTGTCCTTTGACATAGCTTTGAATGCTCAGGAAGAAAGGACTGACCATTATATTCCAAGTTTTAGCAATGTTTTTAATATTGAAATGCACAGATCTACTGGTTCTAGTGACACATGCACAATGATAGTTTAGTAACATGTTCAAAAATGTCTCATTTCCTGCTGTCTTAATAGTAAAATTGTTATTGTTGGTGAACATAGTGTTTTAGTTAAGGTTGACTCCCTTACAGGAGCTACATCATGGTTTACGCATCTTGAAAACTTTAGCTTAAATTTTTCAAGTTTGTGGTTTTTAATCTGTTTTAATCTTCTCTATCCTTAACCATCCTTGTTCCTTTAAGGTTTATTATTATCCCTTTGGTGTTTTTCCATTTTTGTAAACTACTATTTTCAGGTTTCCTTCAATTTAAAGGTAATTCTGTACGTGGCCAAAATAAGTTAAAATACCATGACTGAGCTTCTTTAGCTTGAACCATGATTTTATTGTTGATCGTCGTTTACAGGTATCTGATCAGTGTCGAGATGGTGGGCCTATATCACCAAGCAAGTGTATCTATATGAAGGACTGGCTTGCAGAATTATAGTGTAGTAGTACCTTTGTACGTAACTTAAAGTGTTTTATTGATTTCATATTTATACAAAATAAACATTTACACTGGTTAGCTGGCTTATTTGATGGCTGATCACTAACTTTTTTTTTCTGACTGATTTACTCAACAATACTGCCTGGCCATTTAAATTGACAATATTTAGAGAGGAGGCCTCATCAGCCTAAGCTGGTTTTCATGCAGGTCCTCTCTCCTGGTTGAATTGGAAGTTGTATGTAAATGCTGGTTTTTGGACCTGAGAACCCAAGAAACACCCCTGGAGCAAGGCGAGAACCAACAACAAACTTAACTTACATGTGGCACCAGGCCAGAATCAAACCTGGCCACATTGGTGGGAGGTGAACGCTCTCACAGCTGTACCATCCCTGGTCCATGATGTAATTTTTGCGATTCAAAAACACTAGGCAGGTATTATTAAGAAGAGGAACAAACGTTGATAGAAACTTGCATATGTGCACACTCATCAAAAATACAGAAACAGGAGCTCTCAAAAGCTAAAAATTCTAGTGGGAAGTACAAAGCCAAACTATAATTTTTGGAGTGGAGGGGGTTCATACCAAAAGCTGTCCATGGGGAGAGTTTAGGTGATTATCTTCTGGAACAAATAATTAATTATACCATAATGACAAATTATTGACAAGAAATTCAACTCCTCTTTAATGTCACAAATAATTATTTATTTTGGAAGAATAACAATTTCAGTCATAAATAATCCATTTAAGACAATTTTAACAAAAAAGCAGTTCTATGTATATACATTAAATTTTCAATAGTATGATAGAAAAAAAAGTACACCAAAATTGGTAGCTAAGGGTTGTAGCAGAAAAGAGCCGCAAGAAATCAACTTGAATTCTTATCTTGCAACCCTAAACCTTATGAAGCTTTAAATGACATTTCAATTGTGCTGAAAGTATATTAAGCAGGTTTTAAGTGTAATAATGATAGCCCATTTCTGAATTTCCCTTTGCCTCTGAATCACTTCTCTGTTTCAAAACACATCCTCTTCATAGGAAATGAGCTTCGTTTGCGTGAAAGTAAAGGTGCAGGTGAAACACATTTTCATATGAACAGTTTCGCAGGAAGGCTCATTTTGACATCAAGGAAAAAGACAACTTGGAAATGGCCTATCATAATAAACTTCATTGCAGTAATAATTTAGTGCCAAAAATAGATCAAGTGTCATTGAAATAACGTCTAATATGTAACGCTTCAAATGTCTGTTTGATACATGCAATGATAAAAAAATTCACCAAAATTATGAGTGATCCTCAGAATTCACTGACTTGAAGGCCTTGCCAGAACATTTTATGGCTTCTACTTGTCAAATTTTGCCTGACAGGTTGGTCATGATAAAAAAGAGAAAAAACTTGGCCCTTCCTAGTAGCCTGCAAAACCCCAACATGAATAAAGTTCCTATTTTTGTTGCTTGAAAGGCTACGAGTGTATTTCAAAGATTAGTGGACACAGTGGATTGATTCTAAATAGCATGGCACCCTTAGTTTGAGTATGAGTATTGCTTCTCCCCTTGAATGGGATCCCAGACTACAGATCCCTCAACCCTCCTGCCCAGCATTTTGTAAATTCACAGTCTTTCTCTCTATTAATTTGAGTCCTTCTCTGATTTGATTTTGTAATGTTACAAAATCGTTTTCAAATAATGATGGCACACCCCCATTAAAACTGTTACTGTAGTTATTTGCTGGGGTTTACACGAACTGCAGAGAAGTTGATTACTCCGGCCAGCAGAATCACAGAGCACTGAACTTTCCAAGTCATTTCTCATTTTATCTTTTAGTACAAAATTTTACTGCCATAAATATTACAACAATGGTGCAGTTCTTGTTCAAAAGACTCAAATGAAAGCCTGCTGACTGGAGAGGCTGTCCATGAATGGCTTGACAAGCTCTGTAGTGGCAAAGTTGAAAATGAGTCCAAATGTAATTGATATAGGCAAAGCAGGTAAAGCCTTCTTGTAGATAGCTAAAAGGAGGAGGGTTAAGCACAGGCCCTGCAAACAACAAACAGCCATGAGTGAAGGACTATATTTAACACAGCTTGAATACACAAACATAGTCATATGTGAAAAATCTGTCTCTCTTTGAATGCCCATCTCTTCCTTTCCTCAGAAGACTGGTTTTCACTAGTAATGGAGTCTGAGTCCTCATCAGAAGTGCTGAGTGATACAATCAAACCAGCAGAGTCAATAGAAGAATTCCAGGTCCTCTTATGACTCAACTGCCTATGATATGAAAACTAGATTATCGGAATCACAAGCAGAAATTCCTAGCATTGTGATTGGTTGCTTCTGCTTCACACTCTGACAATGTAGTTTTCACTGGATTATAAGAGAAAGAGTCATAAGTGCAATCGGAACAAAATGAAAACGTTCCGGTTTATCTGACTCTGAAGCTTATGACTCTGCTTACAACTCTGATTCTTTATTTTCACTAGATTGTTAGTGCTCTTCCAATTCTGACTCTAGTAAAAACAAGCCTTAAAGATGCATTTATGTCAAGGGTACAAAATGTACTAAGCTCAAAACACCTCACACCTATGTTACATTCTTACAGTTCAGCAACAAAATTCTGTAGGTGAAAATAGATTGCATCACCTCCAATATTATTATATGGCTACTTACAATAAGAATGGCCACAAAGCAAGCAATTGTAGTGTTCCAATCCTTGTATGAGGAAGCTTTCCCAACAAGAACACTGTAGAAAATGAAATCTCCAAGGCCTAGTTTGACACCCTCTGATGGCATTGAAAAACAAAATCATTAATTGACACTGGAAAATAGCCAAAAGAAAATATGCACGCTGATTGGTTTAAAATTGTGTTTCTATAACTCGATAGAAACACAGTACATGTTTTCTATTTCTTAAACAGAGAATATATTAAACAGAGTTGACTGCATTGCATTCACAGTTAATACAATTACGAATGAAAAATGAAGTATCAATGGCATCAAGGCAATAAGAACCTGACCTTTTTTCATAACCTGTCAGTACGTGTACTAAAATCTTATTCTTGTTAGTCTATATTTGCATATTATCCCTACTATCCCTTAAGATTTTGTCAGCTTCCCTTCAAACAATTTGCTGGCACTATAAGAGTAAAGTGTTTTGCTCAAAAAGACAACAGAATGACATTGACCAGGGCTTGAAACCTGGACTGGGTTGTTCAAAGCTGAATAAGCTTACCCAGGATTAGCGAGAATTTTGATTTGAGTTTTGTAACATTGCAGTGAGGTTTCCTGTTTATGTTGTTTGGTCGTCTGTTTTGAGTTTGAATAATCTCAAACTAAACAAAACATGAGGCTTATTTAAGCAGTGAAAAACATTTTTATTCAAGAAAAATTTATACTTAGGTTAGCTTTTAACCCTGGGTTAGCTTTAACCTGCTTCCAAACAACCAGCCCCAACTTCTTGATTTGGAATCCAACATGAACTACCCATTGGGCCACTACTGCAACATCAACATAATCATCTCTACAGTAGGTTCTAAGAGATCTAGCTACATTCTACAGTGGAGCAGCTCAATTTTCTAGACTCACTCTCTTCTTCGTCACCATCTGGGGACTCATTTGGTGGATTTTGTTCCTCGTCATGAGCACCCAGTGCTCTTATAGCATTTTCTGCTGCCTCATTTGTTGGTCCCTCTCCATCGACAGATTCTAGCAACTCCTCCTCATCTTCTGAACTAACACGAGTGGATGATAATGGTCGTGCTCTTGGCTCACCTGAAGTATCTCTATCAGCCATGCCAATTGACCACATCATTGTGGCTAAAAAAACCATCAGAAATATTACATAGTTAAACCCCAGGCGCTGATCTAACAGACGTAGCAATGCTGGGTCAAGAAGTGGGAGGAAATTGCTTTTAAATAAGAATTGCAGCATGTCTAGACCCCAAGTAGGGTAGCTGTTGAATCAACTGAAAAAGTTGTAAGGACCAAAAACCTAAGGGAAGCATGGAAGAGCAGTTTTCGTATTCTGGGAATCAAATTCTTGAAGTTTAAACACAGTGGTAATGATTTTCTCTTCAACTGTTTCATGCTCATGATGATAATCATTAACAACAGTAACAACCTGATGTTCCTGCAAAAAGAAAAATCTTGCAAACTTGTACAAATCTATAGGTCATACAGAACATGCTGCTGCAGAATTAAGGAATTTTCTTAATGCAAAGAAAGTGTCTACATAATCCAAAGACATTTAACTTACAGGAGTAAATTAAAGATGGAAACAGAGGTTCATCTCTCTCTTGAGCAGTTTGTACGAGAATCTTCAAGGGCCCTTTAGGGCACAGAACAGCACACAAATCTGAAAAAAAAAATCAAACAGCTTAACTTGTTTCTCAAGCAATAAAAACCAGTTGCTGATCACACTGCAAGTAATGGAGTGGTTGGATGACTTACCATAGAGAGAAATGGCTGCTAATATTGCCCATGTGGTCCAATCTGGTAAAAATTTGATGAACACTAAGGCCTGTAACATGAAATAATGGTTCATTTCATTAAAAATAAGTTAACAGTATTTTCAAATCATCCCTGTTAAACAGAGATGTAGCAAAGGAAACACTAAGCCGGCTCATTGACAAGCCCAGCTTGTAGACTCTTGTAGGTTTTCCAGATACCAAAAAAAATAGCTACGAATAGTATTTCATTGTCCTTAAGTGCCTACTTTCTTCAAATGTTTTGCATGAATTTCCTCTGCACAAGTAAATTTGCTCACTCAGTAACATGATCCTAAATTTCCCAGTTAATGTTACTGATTTCAATGACCCACCTAAAGGAATCACTGACACCTTTTCAGTCCTGTAAGATGCCTGAACAAAATTACAGGACTTTCATTCCTGACAGCAAATTAGAGTTCGTTACAACTCATTAAGTGACTCTTGAGATTTCAAATTACTTAAGACCTAAAACTTGGATCTCATCACTTTGATCTCAAAAACATTTTATACAGTGTAAATCCACGTGTTTCATTAAGGGCCAGGCAACAGGCAAATTGACAGGCTGTGAGGATGATTGTGCCTGACTGGTTTGACCATCTAGAGGAAAGTTTTTCTTATAAAGAATTTTGGTTCAAAAAGTTTTGCCTGCCTGTGACAACCAACTGCCCTTCTGCTGAAAATGTTAATGAAACCCCTGGTAAATTACCCTCAAAACATGAATGTTGTTGAAAGACATACATGTAGTAACCAGATGACAACTTAATGTAATTATAATAAATAATTAACTTACCATCAAAGCACTAACTAAAATAAGATAAGCTTGCTGCAGTCTGAGTGGTCCTTTCCAATGGATGCAAATCATGCCAACAACTCCAAAATTCCAGATTATCAGTGACAATGTGAAATAATCCATTGGCACATTGTATACCCTCAGCACCTCTCTACAAGAAAGAGGTAAATGGAAATGTTACATTAACCACTGTTTTATGGGCGGCATTTTCCTGCAGCATATTATGAAACAATAGGGAGTTTAAGCAAATCACTA